CCACCCTGAGCCCACAGGTGAACAAGCCCCACCCAGTCTGTTGGAAGATAAAAGATCTCAAAGAGAAGAGCACAACTCCCTGAAGATGACAGCCACCAACCCTCAGACACATGTGACAAGCCATCTCAGGTCACCTAGTCATAGCTCACCTATCAGCTAGCCAACGTTGCCCGGGAAAGAACTATAGTCAGCTTTCAGCCACCAAGCGAACACTGGTTTGTTCTACAGGAAAAATGAGAGAATTTTTCTAGAATTTTCCTAAGAAAATGAATGAGAACAGTGATAGTAAAAGGATCAATAATCATACTGCCCAACAGCATTTCAAAATTCCACAAAGACAGAGCTTCGCTTTTTTTTTTTAAAAAATTTCCTTCAAATAGTTTACAATGGGCAGTAATTGGGCATTGAATGTTATTGTTGTCTATTATTATCTACTCACACTGGAGGGGACTGGAACAAAGGCAGCCTTTGGAACTGGACTCTACCTACCCAGCCATAAGCATGAATGAACCGAGAAGCCTAATCAGGCCTTGAGGGCTTCCCTACATTTTTAATTTCCTGTAAGAAAGTTCAATCTAAGCTAATGTATATTTGAGCAATAAACAGATACACGCTGCTGAAAATCAGCAAGTATTTTTTTGTAACATATTTCGCCCTTAGAAATTAGACATTTTGATAAAAATTTAAATTCAGTAGATGGGTGAGAAGATCAGTTGGGGAAAAACTCAGAACCAAAAGGGAGAAAGAAGATTACAAAGAACACTCTCATCAAACATGTGACCAACCAGAGAACCAGAAAAAGAGGAAAATACAGGGGAAGAGATTATCATAGAAAGATGGATTTCTAGAACCAAAGTGACTGGCCCTTCTCAACCAAGAGATACCAAGCGCGAGAAGCAAAGAGCCGCACGGAGACACATCCTACGAAAACATCAAAATACCCAAGAAAGAACAGTTCTCGAAATATTAGAATTACAAAAAACCAAAATGGTACTCAAAGTCAGAAGAGCAATCATAACACCAGAGCTGGAAGGCAGAAGACCACAAAGAGACATCTTAACCAAACTGATAGGAAACACTTTTTTCCCCTGAATAATATACCCAAACTATTAATTGAGGATAGAATAAAGATATTTCTAGGTGTGGTAAGATCTCAAAAAAGTTAACTTTTTTTTTTTTTTTTTCTGGAAGGTTCCATGTTTTCTTGCTGCCAAGCTTTTACTGTTCTCTCGGTGCGTTCCATCCCGATGGCCTAGCTCTACTCCACACCTCCTGCTTTCTACTTCAGGAGCTGACCTTCACATATCCATCCTGTAAAGTCTGATTTTAAGCCATGAGCTCCGCCAGGAAGGATGTCCTGTTCCAGTGAGCGAGGTACAGTCCTTTCTTCTGGATGCTCACTGACCTCTCTAACCCCACAAAGAACTTTGACTTTGCTTTTTATGAACCATGACTTTTCTCCCTAAATAACAGAAGCTTCCTGCTGGCTTAAGACCTGTCCATTTCTCCTCTGTGGCTCTGGTCTGACGGTCCCTCTTACACACCAACTGTGCCCACAATGTCTATGAAATCCATTATGTCCTATCACCCTCTATGTATGAAACACCTATGAAAATATTTTATAGGTGTTCTATAAAACTTTCTAAGTTTTTATAGGAGTCCTGTATATAGGATGATGGACACCATGGATTACTGTAGTAGACATTCAATGACAATAACAATGACTCAGAATTTATTGTTGATCGATTCTCCTATAAAATATCACATTGAACCTATTATATTTCTTCTCCAGTCCTTACCACATCCATATTTGCCAACTCAGTCTCTGCATATAGGGGAGAAAGGATGATTTTTTGAGAAAGGAATAAAGAAAAAATTGGTCTTTAAATTAAAAAGAAGAAAATCATATGACCCAGCAATTTTGCTCTTAGGTGTATATATATGCAAAATGAAAACATATGCCCTTGAAAAACTTGAAAAAAAAATGTTCATAACTGCATTAGTCATAGAACCTAGAAAGTAGAAAAGCCCGGGTGTCTTCCAATTGATAAATGTTTAAGTAAAATTTGGAAAATATGCTCAATAGAGTATAACTTGGCAATAAAAATAATGAAGGATAATACATGCTGTAGTATGAACATTAAAACAGTATATAAGTGAAAGCAGCCCGTCACAACCACTCTAACATGAGTCATTTTATATGCAATATTCAAAATAGAACAATCAAGAGACAAAGTTGAATAGTAGTTTCCTAGGGCTAAGGGGATTTGGAAATGATGGGGAGTTAGTTACTGCTAGTGGGCATTTCTATATCAATTCCTAAATCAATTTGAGAAAATTTTCATTGTCTCCCCGAAAAATATTTCAACTCTGAATATTCTAGAAACCACTGACTCATATATACTTTAAATGAGGGAGTTATAGCTCAACAAATTTGCTTTTAAAGAAAGGCTCAATGAGAAAATAAATTCATATATTACTAATCTTTAAAGCAATATCAAAGGCCATCAACTTAAACAAGGCAGGATTTGCAAAGTATGCCAAACCTGGACAAGATCAAAACACATATTTGGGATCAGAAAATACCAACTTAAAAAAAAAAAAGTCATGTCAGTTGATATTTACTTGCCTTAACATTAAACATAAAATCTGTTCCCCATAGAGTTTAGGAGAAGCCATAACAAAGCATAGTGAGGAGTACAGGATTTTATTAGCAGCATAGAGTGCCTCCTTATGTAACCTTTTTTAGGTCACTTAATTTCAAAAGGCAGTGTCTCTACTTGCCAATTACCTTACCTCAGAACAGTACTATTAAGGCAATTAATGGGTAATGGAGTTCATCTTTATTTAGGACCAGGATCTGGAAGCATAGCTGAGGTCGATTCCTTTGGATCTACTTATTACATGTCATTTGTAGGACGAGTGAAAACACCAACTTATAAAGTCTTTCTGTCTGAGGGACTATTACATAATAGATGGAGAAAACATTTGATTCTTCCAGAATGAAAGAATTCATATTTTTTAAACTTTAAAAAAGGTCCCACAAAGGTTATTTAAAAAAAATAACCTAAGGAAGAACTTGACATGTACAGTTTCTCGTTTCCATTTTTTTCCTCAAGGATATTAGAAGTCAGACCTACAAAACCATGATTTTAAAGTAAACTTACTTCCTAGTTCTTTTTTAGTCTTTCAGAACACATTTATGTACTCTCCCTGGAATAAATAATTTGAATACAACAAAGGTTTAAGACGCTGACCCCTTTTTAAAGAAAAATTCATGTAAATAAACTATTTTCATTCAATATAAGAAATGTCCCTTCAATTATTGTGTCCGTGTTTGATTTCTCTTTTTCTTCTGTTTTCTACATCATGTGCAACTGTAAACTTTTTAGACAGTAATGATAAGCCATATGGACCTGGTTTTTATTAAGATCAACATTTTGATCAAGTTAGGTTGAAAGATTTAAAAGTTCTCTGCAGCTGTGTCACTTAATTCATAACTTAAGATTTTACAGCCATCTACAAAAGTCCCCCAATCAGATAAAGATTTTGAAAACCAACTTCATACTACATTGGGATATATGATGACGTGATATGAATCTGAGAAAATGGTATGTGAAAATTTCACGAATAAATTAGCTGCAAATAGAACAATCTTATTTCTGGAATACAAACTGTTATTTCTTTTCCTTGACTTCCTGACACTCAGGTGCAGAATATAGAATGTCGAATATGAATTCTCAGTCGTGGCATATTAACTAGCAGAAAACCTGCAGCAATTAACTTTACCAAACATTCATTATTTAACTATTATCTAATTTCAACTGCACAGCATTTCAAATGGCAGATTTTGGCAGAGCAGATTCGTTGATGGCAACTGAGCTGGCTACTCCTTGCTCCACCAGCTCCCAGGGTCACAAAGCCCTCCTGGCTCCTCATGCATATGAGCTGTCTCACATTCACTGCCAGCTTAGGTGAGAACTTTGTCATGATATACAGAAATACTGCTTTTAAGAAGTCAAGGTCTCCTGGCAGCTCCTTAGTATACTACTATGGCAGCTGAGCAAGAGGTCATGAATATTACATAAGGACTGCCCATGCATTCAAACCAAATCTCCAAGCCAGGATTCCCATAGCAACACACACTGGTTCTACTCATCTGAGAGAAGAAGTGGTGAGAACAAGTGCTGTAATGCTACCCTGATTTTTCCAGCACGATCAACACAATACTTCCTCTTTTTCAAAACCAGTCATTTTTTGCAAAAGAAAACCAACTGGTTTACAATACGTTCACTCAGATACCAAGGGTCAAACAAACATGCCTTAAACATGGACAATAGCTACTGTTCAAACAACTCTATGGGAAAAAAGAATCCAAATCACAATTTCATAGTGAAATAAAATTCAGACTGGAATAAATTCTATATTTCATCTGATTTCCAGTTTCCCTCCTTTATAGGCATAGAGTAGTATAATGGAATGAAGAAGAGTGTGGGATCCCTCAAGGGGAGGATCTTCTGTAACCAATGACACCTTTTGCTTCATTTTTCAAAAGCAAAATATAATGCATTTTTAAAAATATGTCATTATAAAACGCAGAGTGAAATTTCAGGGAAAGATTGCTCAAGACCAAGAAAATAAATATTAGCTTAAAGAATGTTTTTCCCCCCCCAACATAGATATGGGCTAGGAAAATGAAGTAAAATATTTGGATGTTAGATACCATTTTCCCTCTTGGTATATTTAGAGATCCTTTTGTGTGTGTGTAAATAAACCACCCACTGATAGAAACAGGTTCCTCAGATTATAGAACAAAAGTGAAGACCAGTCTTACATATCAAACTTCCTTCTATCAAAGGGAAAAAAAAACGCTCCATTAATTTTATCCTTTTAAAATCAGACAATGTAATACTCTTTAAAGAGAAATTTCCACAGGTGGTTCATCACAGACACAGCCCAACTTGCACAGAAAGGCCTTGGCAAGGAAGAAATGGTTTTACCTTTGCTTTTTCCAACTGTGCCTGGGCCTGTCGTTCAGCTTCTCTGCGCACTGCCTCCCGGTCCTCCTCCAGAGACACATCTGAATCGGATGGACGGCTGGTGTAGGAGTCTGCCGAACCCTGGAGAGGAAAATGTATATATTAAAATAGATTCAAGGCATGATGTTTGCATTGGGAAAGTCTCACTGACGTGGCGGTTTGCTTCCTCGATTGTGCTATAAATTCCTGAAAAGATGAAAAAATAATCCATTTTACAGCAACCCAATCTGGAAAAACATACTTTGCAATGCAGACCCTTCACTAGGTTACTTGTGTCCACCAAGTTACCATTCCTTCCCAAGCCTCATATTCCAAAAACTATTCTGGAAACCAAAACAAGTTCCTTTATAATAAAACCAGCTGGGTGGTGCAGTGCAGAGCTGAAGGGCACTGATGGGTTTCAAGGATAGCTTCAAGAACAATCTACATGCTAAAGCAAGTATGCACTTTTGTAGAAAGACATTAAGCCTAACCAAAAATTAAAATAAATAAATAAATAAAAAAATAAAAGTCTAATGAGTTATGAATTTGAACTCACCCCCCCCCCCCAAAAAAAAAATGTCACTGCCAGGATGTGACTCCCATTATAATCTTAAGAATCATTTTATACCTTTTAATACACCTGCTACCTTCTCCGGCAAAACTGTAATAAGACACTAGCAGCTACTTTCCCTCTTTCAGGAACATATTTTAAAACACCTTTACAGAGATATTTAATAAGAGCTGTCTACAGAAAACACCTGCCTGGAATATCTCCTCTGGCAATAAATCACAACGTAGGAAAAGAAGCTCAAAAAATGTTAGGAATCTCCCTAGCTCCCTCTCTTGCAGTCTTGAGCATATTAACTAAATCCAACCACCCTCTCTGCCTGCACTCCCTGCAATACAGAAAAGCCAAGAAAACAACGTCTCCCCCAAAGGAAAGCCCTTGAGCTTACACAGATATCAGAATTCTTCAGCCTTCCTCCCTTGGCTCTTTTCAGAAGCCTGATCCAGGTGGCCTTCATTAGCCAGACAGCGCCTTTAACGTCCGCAGCTGCAGCCCGGGGCACAGATTCTCAGTGCACGCTGAGCCCGGGAGAATCCCAGCTCCCTTCCTATCCATGCTCTAGGCAGCCCCTCTGCTCCGTCCCCTTCTGCCAGGGTTTTCACTCCCTGTCCCAGAAGACTCCCATCCAAGGAGATTCTTATTTTTCCCCTTCCAAGAGTATCAGCACACACTCGAATTCTTTATATGTCTTTTAAAAATAAAAAAAAAAACCCTTCAAGTGCAAAGCCCGGCATCATCAACTCGGTTCTAAACTTAATGCATCTTATTACCCTAAATATTCTCTTCCCTGCTCCCCTGGTCCCCTGCTCTTGGATTGTTGAAGGAAATTAGTTGTAAGAGGACCTTTAAAAAAAAAAAAAAAACACCTAGTGCAAAAAACGTATGCAGTGACATTTGCAAGTGCAAAGTTCAAGCCTTATCTTTAGAGATCTGGAGGGGAGGGAGGGGGAGGGAGGAGGACGTACTACCCGCACTGGGCATGCTCCATATGTAGCCTTTTTACGCAGATGCTCACATCACACTGTTAGTCTATGTTAAATTGCCATTTTACATCCAAAGTGTAAACAGCTGGAAAGGTCTCTTTGCTTCTATAGTAACGGGCACATGGTATGTTTGTCAGGTTTCTGTTTCAGATGAAACCTTCTCTCAACGACAAAGCACGTAATCTTTTTATTTAATAATCCCTCTCCATGACCTGCTACAGGAAGGATGTCTATGTCATAAAGGCAATTCATAGATAATAAATATTATATACAGTACTGGATGGCAAAAATCAAACAGTGCTCATCACTCATAATATAATACAGCTCCTTATTGCTTGTGACTTTTCAAATAAGATGTAAGACAGAGATTTGACCCTTTAATTAGGACATGGAAGTAATCACAGCCCTATACAGCAATGAGTTTAACTGAGCTCAGAATGACTTTGAATTGCTTCTCCAAAGGAGAAAATGCCATTTGAAATAAGCCACCAGAATAAATAACTGTGAATTGTTACAATACATATATGAAGAAATTGCAAAGATAGGTTGCTTTATTAGCTTGTGTTAAGATTCACAGAATACAGTAATGGAGTCCAAACTCTTCTTGTAGATAAGGTGACTGGGGCTCAGAGGAAGGATGTTAAGGTTATGAGTAGCTTGTACAAATGGACTTTTATTTTTAAGGATCAACTATGAAGAAATGCACACTTCTGGGTTTCTTAAACATAAAAACTGAAAACCAAATTGCACTTATTTGAGTGCAGTGGGACTTCTGTAAAGTCCCTCCCTCCCTCCTTCCTTTGGTTTCTAGGCTAATACCAATCTTACTGCTTTAAATGCTTTTAAATAATAATAATAATAATAATAATAATAATAATAATAGAATAGGAGCTTTGGAATAAAAGTTAAAGAACAACTATACCTCAATTTAACATCATGATGTAAATAAACAGATAATTTATATTGTTATGAAGTGAATGAAAAATGCCTGGAGAATAGAAATGCATTTTAATTTTTGTTCAAGCAAATTACGAGGGACAAATGAGTCTTGTAACACACACATATATATACAGTAGGGGATTCCTAATCTTCCCAGGGAACTTCCTAAACTAGAAAATGACCAAGAAGCACACTTTTTGCCCATAGCCCTGTTGTCACCCATTTTGGCATTTTTGAAACCCTAATCACCTGGGTGACAGTTCAGGCCACATTTCAATGAAAATACAAATTTTCTATCATTAAAGAACCTCAAAATAGCTGGACATGGTGGTGCACGCTTATAATCCCAGTGGCTCATAAGCTAAGACAGGAGGAGCACAAGTTCAAAGCCAGCCTCAGCAATTTAGCAAGAGGCCATAAGCAGTTTAGTGAGATCCTATCTCAAAATTAAAAATTAAAAAAAAAAACTCAAAATAACATATGAAGTACATAATAAAAACATATACTTTTTTATCATCTCAATTGCTGTTAAACAGAATAAGATTTTAAAAGTCCTTTGCTCATAATCAGATGTCACTTTGGAATTACACAATCATTTTGAGACCTGTTTCCAGTTTTAAATAATTAAGCAGTTTTTTTTTAAAAATCTCTTCATTGACCCTTGGCAATGACCTTTTGAATATTTGCAGCAACCTTTGACTATTTTATAAGATGTCACTATGAACTGAACTGATCTTTAATTTTGTTTTTTTGTTTTGTTTTTTTTTTTTGGTGGTGGTGGGGATTGAACCCAGGGTCTTATGCATATGAGGCAAACACTCTACCAACCGAGCTATAACCCCAGTCCTGATCTTTAGCCTATTGAAAGAACCAGATTACTTTTATTCCTTCCATCTGATATAGTATAGACTTTCAAAATATTTTTCATTATAGAAGTTAAATGTACTTTTAAAAGAGACAAAAAGAACCATCACCTCAAATTCGGTACCCAGACACAAACACTGTTAAAGAGTAGCATATTTTTGTGTCTGGAGTTGTCTCAAAGTCACCTCCTAACATAGGCATTACAATTGATCTCCTTCCTTCTGGGAGTATGGATTTGTATGGTTAGAAGTGATAGAGCTACTTAAGCCTTTGGTACCATTTGGACTTTCTGGGTCATGGTGCCTCAAGTAGTCCTGACAGGAACAGTTGGCAGCCATTTCCATGGCTCTCAAACAGGGTCATTACAAGATGTACCCTGGGTCTCTGCAGTTCCTATAATGTGACCCTTCTTCGGAAGGTTCTGTCCTTCCCTCTTCCTTTCACCTACCCACATTTGCTTGTCTCCGTCTCAGTATTCACATTGCTAATTGTACAGTTCCAACTTGCAGTTTGAGTCTAAGGTCTAACCCCACACTCCATCCTAGGATCTTCTACTTTGATGCTTAGAACTTTCACTCTAAGAGAGGAAAACAGTTTAATCAGATTAACTTACTCTTTTATCAACTTTTCACTTTCTCTATCCACTTCGATGTCAAATATTTGCACAATACAGCCTCACCCTTTTCCTTTAACACCTTTGTTTGTATGTGTAAAGTTTGCTTTTTGGATGTTGTACTCTCCTGTTTCACAGTCATATATATTTCCAGCACCAGTTTTTGTGAGTGTTCTTGTTTTTTTCTCTTTTAAAGTCAAAAGGATAAGAGTTGTAAGCCTACTTAAAAGTGGCATCTTGGATCCCAAATTATGTCATCTATTTCTGTAGAAATTCTTCATGTGAAATCTAAAGCGACATTCTTGAGCAAAATCAGTTTCTCATAGTACCCCAAGGACACCCTGATTCTTGACAAGGCTTTATCCTCTTCAGACTCAAACCTCATGCACAGAACTGTGCCAACCCCAATGGCAAAGTGACTCCAGCTGTTTCCCTTCAACCTGCCATTAACAGAAATGACATTCCATTGCCACATGGGCCAGACCCCCATTTTTTAGAATACAGCAAAACAGACAAGGACCAAAGGGAAAGAATTCTATTGTCGACTGTCTGATGGTGGGGTGATAATTCTTTTATTTCTCATTATCATCTCTCTTACCGTTTGGAAGAATTAACTTTTGTTCTGGAAAGCAACCTAGATTGCTTCAGAAATCTTAACTGTTATTTCTTAATAACTCATTCATGGATAATGAGAGATTTCAACTTTTTTAAAATAAAAAGATTTATTTAAATTTAAAGGTCATAGGAACTTATTAAGTAAAATACAGAAGAATGCAGAACAGTATGTTCTTGTTGACCTCATTTTTGTAAAATATAAACTTGGCAAGATATGAGCTGCTTTGGGACCCTCAAAATTCAGTATCCAGGATCAGATAATGATATTCTTATTATGATAGGTGCTCAAGAATTATTATCTTTTGTAGTTATTTCAATAGTAACAGAGAGACCCCTTTAGGATTCACAGAGAGGAAAGAACTTTGTTGAGGAGAAGCCTAAGGAGGGGGAAAAATGAGAAAGAGAATGAGAACATACGGATATCACATAACTATTGTCCTAATGAATGACTTAACAGTAAAATTTAAAATAATTTTATCATAAAAAAATTCAAGAGGGCCTGGAGTTGTGGCTCAGT